AGTGCGAAACCGCAAAACAATATATAATGCAGAATGTTAGGATTTTGTCCTGAGTTATCACAAATTCTAGTTCTAAGGCTAACTAATCAACTATGTAACAAGATGATAATCACAGATTCAGTTCTCTAGTTAACAATCAATCCTCAAACAACAAAGTAATCACAGATTAAAACAGTGAATCATCAAGCATTTAACAAACAGCAGATCAAGAAAAGAGATAAATATCAACACAAGGAATTATAGTGGTTCGGCTGGGTAGCCTACATCCACTCTTCAAGGCGCAAATAGGATGTCATTACTATCACAGTCAAGTAGACAATTTACAGAGTATTGAACAAAGAAAGAAACAGAATGAGCAAGGAAGAATACAACCCGAAGAAACCCTAGCTTTCTTCTCTTTTCCCCTTGCTGTAAATCCATATCAAATGGAATCAATTTATACATCAGTCATCTCCAGGATCAGCCTCCACTTGGAACCCCAAGAATTTCCAGCCGTAGATGAGTAACAGATTTCGTCTCCCATTAGTACATTCTGGAACAAAGGCAGTTAGAGAAGAGAAATGAGGGCTGGATCGAATGAGATGAAAAAACCCTCTTTAGCTCATCATAAAAAGACGTCGCTGCACCCTTTGACTCACCCAGTTTTTAATTGACTCCACCGTGGCAAAACACAAGCCACATCACCACAATTATCCATCTTGGCTTTTGTTTTGACACCCTATTTGGCCTTGGAAATAGGTTCTTGCTCATGTAACATTAAGAAGGCTCATACAGAGCCTTTGTTTGTCAGCAGTAATAGGTTTTGTAAGCATATCTACTGGGCTATGAGAACCATCCACCTTTTCAACCTTTATTTCACCTCTATCAATCATCTCTCTAATTAAGTGGAGTCGAACATCAATGTGTTTAGTCCGTTTGTGAAATACTTGATTTTTGCAAAGATGTATGGCACTTTGACTATTGTTGTAAACTATTACTGCCCTCTGTTCTAAACCTAGCTCAGTCACAAAACCCTTCAGCCACTTTGCTTCTTTTGTTGCCTCTGTTAGTGCCACATACTCGGATTCAGTTGAAGATAATGTAACCATGTGTTGGAGTTTAGACTTCCAACTAAAAATGTTTCCCTATACTGTAAAAACAAAACCTGAAGTTGATTTCCTTTTATCAACATCACCAGCATAATCTGCATCAACAAATCCTTCAACACAGTAGTTTTCTTTCTGATTCCTCCTATACACTATACCTACTGAACTGGTCCCCTTTATGTACCTCAAGATCCATTTCAATGCAAATCAATGGATCTTCCCTGGATTACTCATGAACCTGCTCACAATACTTACTGAATAGGCCAAGTCGGGTCTTGAACATATCATCAAATACATTAAACTGCCCAGCACAACATAAGGGACTGATCACATTTCAAGTTTTTCCTCTTCAGTTTGGGGACTCTAATCTTGAGACATCTTAAAATGCTGACCAAAGGGAGTTTGGACAGCCTTTGCATCCTTCATATTGAACTTCTGCAGAATCTTTTCAGCATAATCTTGCTGAACCAGCTTCAAACTTTCATGAACTCTGTCTCTAACGATTAATATCCCAAGAATCTTTTGAGCCTGACCCAACTCTTTCATCTCAAATTTGGTGTTAAGAATCTTTTTCAACCGAGATAGCTTAGATTGTTCATGACAAGCCATAAGCATATCATCCACATACAAAAGTAGGAAAATGTAAGTCAGTTCATAAACTCTTTTAAAATAGAAACAACTATCATAATTGCATTTGTTAAAACCTATTTCGATCATGAATGAATCAAACTTTTTATACCACTATCGTGGTGACTGTTTCAGACCATACAAGGATTTTTTTTAAGTAGACAAACTTTACCTGCAACATCTCTGTGTCCTTCTGGCTACTCCATCAGAATGGTCTCTTCCAAATCTCCATGTAAGAAAACTATCTTCACGTCCAATTGTTCCAGTTCTAGATTAAATTGAACAACAAATGACAGCAGAATTCTGATAGAGGAATGCTTGACAATTGGGGAAAAAATCTCATTGTAATCTATGCCCTCCACTTGTGTAAACCCCTTTGCAACCAGCCTTGCCTTATACCTTGGTGGCTCAGTTGGATTTAATCCAAATTTTCTTTTAAAAATCCATTTACACTTGACCACTCTACAATTTTTTGGCTTATTTACAAAAATCCAGGTTTCATTCTTTATTAGAGAAGAAAACTCTTCTTCAATTGCTTTAAGCCATTGCAATTTTTTTGGCCCTGACACAGCCTCTTGAAAAGACTTAGGTTCATCACTCATATCATTTTCAACTTGTAAAGCATAAACCACTAGATCAACATACCCTAACCTGCTTGGAGGTTTGATTACCCTTCTAACTCTATCTCTTGATAATTGGTAATTAGACAGCCCTAATTCATCACCATGGTTCAACTGCTCACCTTCAAGTTCACCAGTTTGATCACCCACAGAATTTTCAGAATTATTTTCCTCAGCTTGAATCTCATCAGCTCCACCTTGATTCACAGTTTCATCAACTTTGGAGTTTTGAAGTTCTAGTTCTAAGTAATCTGATGTTGATGAACTGCCCTCTAACTTTTCAGAATCATTTTCAAGGCCAGGTAGGATTTCTTCTCTAAAAACAACATCACTGCTGATGATATATTTCTTAGACTCTAAGTTCCAAAGTTTATAGCCCTTTACCCCATCTGGGTATCCTAAGAAGATACATTTAATGGCTCTAGGTTTTAATTTGTCTTCTCTAACATGGACATAAGCTAGACATCCAAAAACTCTAAGATTTTCTAGTTTTACAGGATGACCAGTCCACTTCTCCAGAGGAACCTTAAAACCTATTGCTGAAGATGGTGTTCTGTTGATTAGGTAGACTGTTGTGTTTGCTGCCTCTGCCTAGAATTTAATTGGCAACTTAGAGCTAGACATGATGCTCCTAATCCTTTCTAAAATGGTTCTATTCATCCTTTCACAAAGACAATTTTGTTGTGGGGTATTCTGTACTGTTTTGTGTCTCACAATTCCATGCATCCTACAGAAACTGTTAAATTCTTCATTTACAAACTCTAGACCATTATCAGTCCTAAGTTTCTTTAACTTATTTCCAGTTTGTGTTTCTACCATGACTTTCCATTCCTTAAACCTAGAGAATGTCTCATCCTTGGTTTTAAGGAAGTAGATTCACACGTACCTAGAAAAATCACCAATAAAACTAATGAAGTATCTACATCCTCCAAGTGAGTAGTGCTTAGATGACCCCCAAACATCTGAGTGAACATACTCAAGTGGTGAACTTGAGTAGTGTTGACCAGATCCAAATTTGACTCTACTCATTTTTCCACACACACAATGTTCACAGAAAGTTAGACTTCCAATCTTATCCCCTCACAGCAGGTTTTGCTAGGCCCTTCTCACTAACATGTGCAAATCTTTGATGCCACAATGAAGTTCTATCTTGAACTTCCGTTGACCGAACAGTAGCAATCCCACTCTCCACTCTACCCTTTAACACATATAACCCATTTCTCTTCTCAGCTTTCATGTCAACTAGAGATCATTTCATGACACCAAGACTACCATTTGTTGCCTTATAGCTAAACCCATTAGAATCTAAGGTTCCTAGTGAGATTATATTCCTTTTCAGGTCAGGGATATATCTAACGTCTATGAGAGTTTTAGTTACACCACTTTGAAAATTTAGCTTAACTGTGCCTATATCTTTTATATGACACACATCATTATTCCTCATCATAACTTTCCTACCATCTAAAGGTTGAAATGAGCTGAACCATTCTCTATTTGGTGTCATGTGGTAGATACATCCTGAGTCAATAATCCACTCCTCACTGGTTTTACCCTCAGAAATAATTAAAACTTCAAAACTTCCATATCCCTCAGATACTACACCAGCACTGCCTCCCTCACTATCTCTTTCAGGTTTCTGCTTGTGCTTTCTCTCAGGACAGTCTCTCCTAAAATGACCCTCCTTATGGAAAAAGAAACATTTTCTATTTCCTGACCTAGATTTAGACCTATTCCTATTTTGCCCCTCCCTTTTTCCAATTCTTCTTATCTGATCTCCCTCTAACATTAAAGCCTTCACCATCACCACTATTTTTATCTCTCATCCTATTCTCACTATCATTGGCAAAAATAGCCTCCACTACCTCTTCTAACTTCAGTGTTTGTCTACCATATTTAAGGGTTTCCACAAAGTTAGAATATGATTTAAGTAAAGCATGCAACAAGATTACTGCTCGATCCTCATCATTAATATCTACAGAATTATTTTCTAGATCGTGAATCACTTTCAAAAAATCATCTTTATTATCTTTCAAAGATTTCTGCTCATCCATTTTAAAACCAAACAACCTCTGCTTTAAAAATAATCTATTAGGGACAATTTTTGGTTGATAGAGAGAATTTAACTTGTTCCAAATTTCAGCAGCTGTCTTCTCCTTCTTGACCTCCCGAATGACTTTGTCACCCAATCCAAGGATCAAGGAGCTTTTGGCTTTGTCTAGCATTTCCTGCTTCTCAGAATCTGTCATGGTCTCTGGTAGTTCAATCTCTTCCTTTAGGGCTAAGGCTAGCCCTTCCTTGATCAGTACTACTTCCATCTTCATTTTCCACAAACCAAAATCATTCTCACCTGTAAACTTTTCAAGTTCGAATTTAGTGGACATGATTAGAGTTTAGCCTAAAAAATTGGTCACGGAATACTCAAAACAAAAAACAAAACACTTTACGAAGCCCTAAACCAAGCTCTGATACTAATCTATTAGGATTTTGTCTTGAGTTATCACAGATTCGAATTCTAAGGCTAACTAATCAACTGTGTAAAAAGATGATAATCACTGATTCAATTCTTTGGTTAACAACCAATCCTCAAACAACAAAGTAATCACAAATTGAAACAGTGAATCATCAAGCATTTAACAAACACAAGATCAAGAAAAGAGATAAAGATCAACACAAGGAATTATAGTGGTTCGTCTGGGTAGCCTACATCCACTCTTCAAGGTGCACATAGGATGTCATTACTATCATAGTCAAGTAGACAATTTACATAGTATTGAACAAAGAAAGAAACAGAATGAGCAAGGAAGAATACAACCCGAAGAAACCCTAGCTTCCTTCTCTTTTCCCCTTGCTGGAAATCCATATCAAATGGAATCAATTTATACATCAGTCATCTCCAAGATCAGCCTCCACTTGGGACCCCAAGAATTTCCAACAGTAGATGAGTAACAGATTTCGTCTCCCATTAGTACATTCTAGAACAAAGGCAGATAGAGAAGAGAAATGAGGGCTAGATCAAATGAGATGAAAAAACCCTCTTTGGCTCATCATAAAGCGACGTCGCTGCACCCTTTGACTCACCCAGTTTTTAATTGACTCCACTGTGACAAAACACAAGCCACATCATCACACAGAAAATTCAGTGTGAGAAACTAAGCCTTTGAATTACATAAAGAAATTTTAGTTCATAAAAACTTAATTTCACCAAATTTCTGTAATCCAAGTTTAATTACTTAGTGACTGATTCATAGTCTAAAAGACACAAATTCATAAATATTAAATTCTATAATAAGTGATGATTTGTTATTTGAAATATGTGGAGGATTGTTATAATAGTATTTCAAAATACAAACAAGTGGTAGTTTCATGGGTGGCTGTTACTTTTAATTCAATAAGTGACAGTTTTTTTTTTTTTTTTTTTATTTGAATTTATGGGTGGCTATTATGACATTAGCAGTTTCAAAGTAATTGTAGCTATTATAATATTAATAAATCGTAGTAATTTAGCTATCACTATATTAATTCTTTGGAGAGTAACATCAGTTGACAATACACTCCAATTATTTTAGCTCCCATTTTCATATTTTGTCAAAACACTTTTTAGCTCTTATGTTTATATCATGTTGTCATTGCTTAGTTACTTCTTTATTACTGTTTTAAACTTTTGTTAGAGTGTGCACTCTAAAAGGAGGTTCGTAATTATATCCTCGAGGTCAGTCTGCTGTTGAGCTTTTTTGTGCCACGAAGATTCTTCCAATAGAAGCAGAATTCTGATCTTAAGGACAGTGCTTTTGCACGCCTTGACGTTGCTGTTTTGCTAATGTTTAATTGTTGTTTGTCCTACTATTTTTTCTGCTATTTTGCTACTGTTTTTCCTGCTGTCTTGCTACTGTTTTTCCTACTGTCTTGCTACTGTTTATAGGTTTTGTAATAAGTCCAACAAATTACCTGCTAGGGACAAATGTAAATGAACCTTTGACGAAACCTGATGAAGTCGGTAGAGATGCGCAGCTCTTATAAACAAATTCTTTCTCCATTGGACACAGCAGCGTAAACTGCAAACATATAAGAGAAAAATGAGATGGCCAAGGCTTCTCATAGAAGCAAATTTTCATTATAGTCAATGTAGGGTTAAGATTTACAATCAAGAAACTGGAGATCTGAAAAACCTGCCAGGAGAATCAGGAAGTGTTTGATCATTTTCTTTTTCTCTTTCTCTCCTATAAACAACTCCAAGTGATATAGGAATTAAATCCATTGTAAATTAGTCAGTTACTATCTGCTAGTGTGTCCAGCGTGTTACTATATCACAATACAATATGTTAAATACTTTGATAGCATGTTTGATTTGGGGGCGAGTTGTGTGACTTGAATTACACAACACATTTGTGTAATATGACAGTAATGCTTCAAAATAAGGGTGGTCGTATAATTTAATAAAGCACAAATAAAATGACAATATTAATGTAATAATTGAGTCCACTTAAATTTTTCGAAAGAAGAAATACTAGGACTTCCACTGAACATGCACAGGGAAAGAATAACAAGTGAATTAAGTCGTACCATTCCAATCACAGCCTCTCCGCCTACGTCACTAGCACAAATAAGCCAGTGCCTCCAGTGCAGCTGGCAGGAGCTAAAATTCATACCACCAATGATGCATCCTTCAGGCATGAGGGACATGTGGATTGAATAAGCAAACAAGTACTTCTTAGAATGACCTCGAAGGTCAGCAGCCTCCGGAATAAACACAGAAGATGCACGAACCTGTAGTAGATAATAATTTTTACTAGGTGTATAACTTTGAAAATTTTTTTCTTTATATCACCTATAGAATTTTCATAAAAGAAATACCTTCCATATGCCATAGATTTAATACACAGGAGCTGCTTGTGAGTGCAAATATCCTATGTTGTTCGAGCTTAAATTGCTAGGATGATAAACACTAACACTCTGGGCTCAAATGAACAAAACAAATGCAATGCATCCAAAACTCCTCAATCATGCAAGATGTGAAATAGATAATATTTACTTATTAAAAAAGCACCAATTGTTTTAGAAACTTGAAGTGGTGTAACCCTGCAAAAACATAGCAAGGATTTGCTTGTTTGACTACAATTTAGGGTTCTGATTAGGAAAATTAATTTACGAAATAACTTAAAATAGTTCTACACCACTTATAAAATAACATGATCTTATAACAGAGTGTTTTCAAAAGGTCAATAGAATGCATATCATCCATCAATTTGGTTGTATACGCACATCAGACTCATTGTGAACTTTTTGTGCAAATATGCAATACATGTTGCAGAAAGCGGTGGCAACATAGCAGTCTAGAACCAATAAGAGTGTATAACTTTAAAAAAAAAAAAAAAAATTCAAACTAGACAAAACTTTTCCATATGTGTAAATACATTACAAGAAGTAGCACCGTGACCAGACATTACACTTGATAAACGACATTCTGCTAAATTTAAGAAAGAAAATGTTTCAATTTAGTAAGGTGCTTGGATTTCACTTGGAATCATCTATGATAAGCATGTTATGCTACACATATTAATATATAGTACAACAAAATCTGAAGGACAAAAGAGCTACATATGAAAGGCAAAGCAGTACATACCTTCACACCATTGGTTATAGCAGTAGAACAGGGGAGGTTCCTCAGGAAATAGGTTAATACTTCGGATATCTCCTTCACAAATTTTGATAATCCCATTTTCTCATTGTTGGGCATGCTCTTCTAACCACAGTAGCATCGCATCCTACTGCTGATCACTACTAGCATTTTGCAAATTTTTCAAATCATTTGGAACGCATGGAAGCATTTCTCTGGGAGAAGATTCCTAGTACCAACATAGAGTTGGCCATTGGTACAGTTGAGGAAGAACAACTTATAACTAGACGTCAAAGAAGCAGCCACAAGGATATACTTAGATCTGCTGTTAAAAGACATGTCACTAATCTCCCGTGTTTCCATGATTATTCGACTCAAAGGCAACAGGTACACATTAACCAAATGTTCATAAAAACAGTAGCATCAATAAGACCCAAACCAACTAGACTATCAAAATCTTAGCTGAGCCTTCTTGACCATCACAAAAGCGATACAGAATCCTTATGGGGACAGGCAATTTCACTTTGAAAATTTTCTCTAACTCTTGGATATCTACTTCTGATGCACCCCTTCGAAGTGTAGCCTTTGCCTCGGGAAGGTTAATGGTCAACCAGTTTTTAAGTCTATCCCAACATCTTTTAACCTGTTAAACAAGAGGCCAGGGATATGTACTAAAAGACACCCTCCATATCTGGTAAGTCGCCTGAGGAGAGAAGTAGAGAGTGCAGTCAGTAAACTGTTACTTCACAATTTCGGGAAAAGTACTAATAAATCCTATAAACTAACGCTTAACCTAAAAGCTTAAGTTGATAGATAAGGCCCTTAAGATATAACAAATCCTGTCAGCTTCAAAGCACGTCAACACAACAATGACCAAAACAAAATTTTTTTTCACGAATGTACAATGTCGCAATGTAACAAAATGACATAGAAACATTAATGTAAGCTGATAACACATTGTTGAGTAACCAATACACATGAGTAACACTAATAACTAATAATAAGATACTATAGCAATGTCACACGTCACTAAAAACCGTACCAGGATTTTTTTACTCACTATAACAAAGTAACACATTGCTGAGCGATCAATACACATTGAATACTACTAATATAACATTATAGGGATACAAATGCAATGTCACAAATCACTTGAAGCCATTATTCCATGAACGTTGTTGGGACTTTTACTTCCATCAACCACAGTAACACATTGTTGGTTACAATACACGTTGAATATCACTAATATCACAAGATACAAACGAGATGTCACACGTCTGTAAAAGCCATTATTGCAGTAACGTTACTGGGATTTTCACATCTGGTAACATACTAACTCGCCCTAAGAGCACACGCCACATCAACAAACACACAGGCAAAACAGAGAGACCCACATCGACATTTCCACCAAAAATCCATTCTTTTTCAATTTCTTCCATTCTCTAACCAAAAACCATAAAAATCAAAACAAATAAACATGAAACAAACCAATAAAAAACAGAACCCACTTGATATATCATCTATAAAAAAATAAAAAAATAAAAAATAAATAAATAAAATAAAACCTTAAAGGAAGGAAGAGAGTTGCCATGAAGATCAAGAGGGACATGAAGACCAAGTTCATCCAAGAAGATTTTGGACCAGAGAGAGTCTTCAAAGGCAGAATTCCTGAACCTTCTGTTAACACAAGCCAGAATAGCGGTGTGTTTTGGGTCTAATTTTGATTAAAATTTGTTCAAAGCTAGATCTCCAACACAACACTCTCCAAACCCATTTCTCAATCTCTCCGATTAGGGTTTTGGGTAACTTCTTTCATGTTGTCTAGGCTCTCTATCTATCTGTATGTGCTCTCTTAGGCGGAAATTGTTGTGTATTGTCGGCAAATACTCAAGATTTGGTTTTCCTTCTTTTATTGATAAGTCCTTGTAGTTTAGAAAAAGTTATTCGCAGCCGGATTCTTACCCTTACTTTTACAAATGAATAAGTTGTTCTTTTTTAGAATTTTGTGTGTCCGGTACTCCGGTTTTTCTATTTTGAAATATCGAAAATGATTGAAAATTACAAAAATAAAAAACACGTTTGATTTGTTTGGCTGAAAACAGTGCTTGAAAACGCAAAATATCGAAGATATTTGTCAAAAAATAACGAATGAAAAATACAAAATTTATCATATAAACAATTGATAAAACACATCAAAATAATACTTATTTGTTCGTCTTGAAAAGTTTGTCTTAAATATATCAATTTTTATTTGTTTGTAATTTTTTTTTTTGGTTTAAATCTTGATTCAAAATAAAAATTTTGGGTTAAAAGAGAAGATAAAATAAAAAATAAAAAAGAGGATAAACCAATTTTATATTTAAATTATATTTTTTATTAAAAAACCAGACACATCTTGTCTCTCCTCACACCCATGTCACACTCATTTTCTCCATCATTTGTCCTCAAATTTGATGGAAGACTTAAATAATAGAATATTATACTTACAACTGAGTCATACATTACACAAAAAAATAAAAATAAATAATAATCAGTTATATAAATTTTGTACAATTTTTGTCTGGTTGTATGACTGAATTGTAAACAAATATTATTACTTAAACCAACAATAGATTTATCAAATTCACGACAGAACTGAAAATAAAATGGAGAGGTCATAATGAATAGACCCAGTTACTCTTTTTTCTGTTTTTGTAACATCTAACTTTGAAAATTGGGGAGAATATTGTTGGCTAACGGAAACAAAGAGTGAAATTGTCTTGATTTTGGTTCAAAGTTTATAAGGTTGGTCAAAAGTGAGTTAGGTCATTGGATGACCATATTGTAGTGTATTAAGTGAAACCGTCGACTCTTTCATGTATTTTAGTATCTTTATCAAACAAGAAAAATCTCGATCGATTTTAATATTTTGGATGAACACAGGGAAAATCTGTATTTTATGGGTGTCCATTTGGCATAGTTGTCGGTAATTTTGATTCGTGACAACAACTCCAACCACCACCACCATCTTGACTCACCGGCTACTACACCTACAACCCCCCAAGTTCCCAAAGCCATACATATTATATATATATAAATAATATATCTATATAATATAGCAATTCAACACTAATTAGGGTTTGTCAATTAATATTAATTAGAGCATCTGGGTGCCTTTGAATCATATAATACTTAATTAATCAACTTTGATACACTACCGTAATTAATTAAAAATTAAAAAGATGATGATAGACATAATGATGAGTTTATGTCCTTTAGTTTAATATCTATATTAAAGCAAGTGTTTTAAGTTGGCTAAAATAAAAGCAAGTTGTCTTTAAAAAAATGATGTTATATTAAGGTAAATAATTATTATAATTAAGGGATATGGACAAAATAGTTACCAACAACTAAAGCAAGTTGTCTTTCATTAAATAAATCATGATCACGATATATATTTCAACAACATAGATTTGATTAATTATACACATTAAACTTGTTAAGTATAATATTGATGTCAGTCTTAGATATAATAATTGCTAGTTGTCTCTTTGACATGTTTATTATTATCATCGTTACAAAATTTAATTAAAAAAAAAGGGTCTAATTGGAGGTTGATGGAAAGATTTTACATATTGTTGATTAAAAGATTATGCTAGCTTAAGAATTGTTATGCTTGAGACATCAACAACCGAAGATATTAAACACATCTCTAGTCAATGAATAAAACAAAAAGTGAAAATTAGATAAATTAAAATTTTAAAATATATATTATGAGGTGGTAATTATAGTTAATTTAGAAGTATCATATATTATAATAATGTTTTGCTTATAATTAAGTTATAAAATCAGACAAAAATTATACAAAACTTATATAAAATTAGTAAATTACTGTCTTATCATGTATGACTTCCGCATAGTATTGTTCCTAGTATTGTACTCATCTCCACCAAAATTCGTGGGCCTTTAGCTATCAGCCCACATGGTTTAGGATTGAAGCCCAACAAGACATAGAATTTACCTATGGCCCAATTATATATATTATGGGCCAGTGTTTGGGCTTTTCGGGTTTTAAGGCCCAGTGCAAATTCACGACATGATCAAAGGGAGAAAGAGGAGCAAGATTGGGGTTGGACGTTGGAGATTTAGAGGAGCAACATGTTAGCGGTACCGAGAACGATACGGAGGATGTGTACGAGAGTGGACGGTCCACGTGTCACTCGGTTTTCTCTTAATGCACCCAAAAACGTTAGCACTTCTCTTCATCTATGTCTCCATTCTAATGTTTTTAGTATTCAAGTTGTGGGTTAAAAATGATTGCTTTATGTTTCTATGTTTTATTTTATTATTATTATTATTATTATTATTATTATTTAAGTTACCATTCTGTTTCGTTTTGTATTTCTTAGTTTATTGAGTAACTGACAATACCCAGATGGGCATTTTGGCTGCCCATTTTATTTAAATTTACTTGTTACTATTTGTGTTGTCTTGTTGACATTTTGGAAGCACTTTAAATAAGAGAAATGTGTTGAACGCTCTTGGCTTGTTTAAAAATAAATTTAGAGCGAAACCTGAATGTGACGATTTTTATTTGGTTTAATTGACAAGAACAAAAATTATAGTTGCATGGTTAGCTTTATAGACTATCCTGATCGCCTGACCAGTGACAGGGACAGTATACATTTTGGTCTGAAATGGTTGTGATTGCAGAAAAATAGAAGAGACTTCGATTCGGATCTTGCTAAATTTGAGTACAGTTATAATGAAAACAGAGGAAATATTATATACTGTATCCATCATCTTCGATCTCATCAGACAGGTGCAGGACAATTACAGAACAAACTTGAATGAGAAAGATGATATAAATAACAAGTAACTAAAAGTAATATTTGGAAATCAAAATAATCAATAAGGAGATTGCATACAGAGCCCAGGTGATACACTTGAGACTCTGTGGAAACGGAATCGCAATTGTGAATGACAGAGGTCGTAGCAGCAAGGACTGAAACTAGCTTATATTACACTAATGAAGTAACAAATAAAAAAAAAAAAAAGGATCAAACAAAGACAATCGAACTTCAATTACAACAAATATTACACTAACAAGTAAAAAAATATCACAATGACAGACTCTTATATTACAGCAACAATGGGATGTATACTATCATGAAAACAAACACAAATTAACAAGAATTTAAAGTTTTCCAGGAAACTCCAAACTGAAACAACCTGAAGATAACAATGGCGAGCGCGGAGATAACAAAGAGAACCCATGAAACACACTTGAGAATCAATGAAATGGGATTGTGAGACTGATGATGAACGCAGCGACAGCACTGAGGACTGCAACTTTCTCCATCACTTGGCAAACAACAGCAAACTTCGGGGTAATGAATTTTGCCAGAAAGAGAGAAAGAAAGGTTAATAAGTTAGCGAAAGAAAAAATAAGGAAGGAAAGAGGGAGTTCGGATTTGGTTTCAGCAAACAGAACAGCTGTTTTAAGAGCTGAGTCAAAGCAGGATGCCATTAAAACAGTTTGCCATTCTACAGCCTGAGCAACAGAAGAAGTAGCTGCATGAGATCCCTGGGCGGTGACCGGAGGCTGCGGTGGATAGAATCGAGACGACATAAATTTTGTCAGTGAAACGCAAAATACCATCAGAACAAATGCAGTGCCCATTTAGTTAATTAAGATGAGAGCTTAGCCTTGGGCAAAAGTTGTCAAGCTTTGTTCATTAATATAGACAAATCTTATACAGGCTACAAGAGGCTTTCGAATATCCGACTCCGAATCCGAAATTGCAATTGCCACGGATGTCTCATCTTTCAAAATCCTCTACCAAAATTCAAAGGGCCGAAATCCTAAGGATGTTTCCCTACAAAAACATACAAAATATGAGACGCTTGGACCCAACATTATTCTGCCAATGAGACATCCTACGACGTCGTATGAAACAATAAGTGGTTGTCAAATATCCGACTCCAATTCCGAAATTTGCAATTGCCACGTATATCACGTCCTTCAAAGTGCTCTAGCCAAAATTCAAAGCCGAGGTCCGAAATTTGTTTTCTAACATATGTTACCTTATGCCTTTAGATAGTTTTTACTTTTGGAACAATACATTTTTCACTTCAATTGTAAGCTTGATTTGTAATTGATATTGCATTTTTTTTTTTTTTAANACTTTCTCCATCACTTGGCAAACGACAGCAAACTTCGGGGCAATGAATTTTGCCAGAAAGAGAGAAAGAAAGGTTAATAAGTTAGCGAAAGAAAAAATAAGGAAGGAAAGAGGGAGTTCGGATTTGGTTTCAGCAAACAGAACAGCTGTTTTAAGAGCTGAGTCAAAGCAGGATGCCATTAAAACAGTTTGCCATTCTACAGCCTGAGCAACAGCAGAAGTAGCTGCTTGAGATCCCTGGGCGGTGACCGGAGGCTGCGGTGGATAGAATCGAGACGACATAAATTTTGTCAGTGAAACGCAAAATACCATCAGAACAAATGCATTGCCCATTTAGTTAATTAAGATGAGAGCTTAGCCTTAGGCAAAGTTGTCAAGCTTTGCTCATTAATATAGACAAATCTTATACAGGCTACAAGAGGCTTTCGAATATCCGACTCCGAATCCGAAATTGCAATTACCACGGATGTCTCATCTTTCAAATTCCTCTACCAAAATTCAAAGGGCTGAAATCCTAAGGATGTTTCTCTACAAAAACATACAAAATATGAGACGTTTGGACCCACCATTATTCTGCCAATGAGACATTGTACACATCCTACGACGTCGTATGAAATAATAAGTGGTTGTCGAATATCCGACTCCAATTCCGAAATTTGCGATTGCTACATATGTCACGTCCTTCAAAGTGCTCTAGCCAAAATTCAAAGCCGAGGTCCGAAATTTGTTTTCTAACATATGTTACCTTAT